TTCAGTACAAATTCCACAGATTCCTTCCCAGGCTAGGTTACACCCAGCATTTACAGCAGGCTTATCCTTGGCTCCAAGAGGACTGACTGTCTTAAGTTGGCTGAGTTACATTTATAAGAAGAAACTGTGTCTGAGGGAGGACAGCTTCCAGACCATGCACCCCAAACACACTTGGAATGTCATAAATAATGATGTGTTGAGTTCTGTAAACTTGTGGACACAGAGGACAGAAGCATGACTGGAGAAATCGGTGCTCCCCTTCAAATCATTGCCACAATGAAAAATCAGAAGGGACTGAAAAGTTGAATTCAGAAGTGTATTTAATTTGAAGTCAGAGGGGATTTTTATTAAAAAATGTAAAATTAACTAGGAGAATGACCCTGTAAAGAAAATGGACTCAATGCAAGAAGTTGATAAAAGCTCCAGGAAGAAGCAAATGGTTTCAGATTTATGCCTAAGCTGTAGTACTCAGGATAAAGGCAGAAAACAGGTAGGGCCCAGCACCCCAAGAAATGCATTTTAAAGCCAGTATTTGGGGAGCTAGCAAAGAAGTCTATCACAAATGTAGTACCCTAAGTGCCACTGCAAAAATATTAGGAGATTCTGTGGAGGTCATGCAATAAAGAGGATACTAAATATATCCCACAAAGTATATTAGCTTGTTTTCTATTACTAGAAGGAAATATCTGAGGCTGAGGTTAATAAAGAAAAAAGGTTTCTTTACCTTACAGTTTTTTGAAGGCTAAAATCACAAACAGCACTGTGCCAGCTCTTATAAGGCCCCATGGTAACCGGCATCCCCCATAGTGACCAGCATCCCCCATGGTGACCGGCATCCCCCATGGTGACCGGCATCCCCCATGGTGACTGGCACCACGGTGGAAGCATGTGGGAGAGATAAACTGTGGTGAGCCACCACAGAAAACCAGAACTCAGAATGGGGGGGGGGGGTCAGTTGCTTTCTAACAGCATTATCACCAGGACCAATCAGAACCCAACAAGAATTGCATCATTATCTGAGAGCAATGCCCTCGGTGGCCTAATGATCTCCCAGTCAGCTGTGCCTCTCAAAGGCCCCACCACCTCTACCGCCAACACACTGGAGACCCCCTGAGACACGAACTCTTGGCAACAAACCACAGAATGGAGCGTCTCCCTACACCATTGGCACACACTGTATCAGTGCTTGCTGAGAGCGTGAGGTCAGCTGGTCAGTTTACACACGACTTCTGAGGGCACACAGGGCCTGGTACCTTGCCCTTCTCTGGTACTGTTCTTTGCAGTCTGCATTCTACCCTCCCCCAAGTCTCTGCCTCCCTGGTCCCTTCTCCTCCTCCTGGCCTCCAGGGTGGAGCGCCTGTCCCAGGGAGATGCTTTTCATCTCTATCTATTGGGAAACTTGAGAGAAGTGAGGTGGGCGAGGTCTCTTCAACTTACGGCTTTGAATGCTAAAATTACAAATTCCTCTCAGTTTGCTCAGCTAGAAGGAAACCTGTCTCTGCCAAGACCCTCTTGTCCCTAGAAGGTGTGAACTTGTCTGAGAATCCAGCCCACGGAGGAGGAAGACTTAACCTACCGATTTGACCAGCAAGGTCAAGGTATGCTTAAAATGCTTCCATGATTCTTCAGACATGTAAGTCAGGTTTGGTTTTGTTCAAGGAGTCTGAACTGGCTTCCTGTGGCCGACCCTGCTGAGCTACACTTTTCCACTCAATCCGCAGAACTGGCTGAGCTAGATGCAAAGCCAAATGGGGGCCCCTTTCTTCAGGGACGGGATTCTTCTCCCACTAGACTGCCACAATCCCTGTACAGCGGATTGAGTCTGTGTGTAGCTACACCTTGGTAATGAAGGTACCAAATAAGCTTCACTGAGGAGGTGACATTTGGGGAACGGACTATTTCTTCTTTTCTTTTTAAGAAGAAGCATGCTATGTTTAATACTGCATCTATGTACTCCCCATAAATCTAAGAGAATATTCCATAAGTCTAAGAGAATACTGCATCTACATACTCCCCATAAACCTAAGAGAAGTCACTTTAAATGGCTGCGTTTTCCTAATCTAATTATGTTCCTTTGATAAGACATGGTATGTATCAATTATACACAATGAATTTATGGCATTCACACACACACATGCGCGTGCACATTTTTACATGCCTTCCTTGTCTCTCTCTACCCCCCTCTGACTCTGAGGAGGGGAACATTTCTATAGTGATGAAAAGGAAAAACACCCATAATACTAGCATAGAATGACAAGAATCTGGAAAATCTCAGAGGAAAGGGGAGACAGGGACCGTGGTAGTAGGAGTGGCAGTGGGGAGGAGCGCTCAGAGGTCCTATTGGGCTGGAACCCTCTGGCCCACTTTGACACAACATCTTTTTCTCGGTATTCCACCTCCTCTTGGCTCCACCATGGAGCAATTGTTCCTCTGCCACAGCAGGTCCCTGGTGTGCTAGGATACAATGTAGGCAAAGTAATGTAGCTGTGCCCCTTGTGTTTATAGCATGGGCACAAATTAGTGAACACGCAGCAAAGCTAGGGTGTACACAGTCTATGTAACAAACATGCAGAGAGAAATCCATGGCAGACGGAAGGAGAAAAATGTCGAAATGGAATGGAGTGGCTGGCAGGTCATTTGCCCCAATCTGCACACCCTTAGTGAAGCTTCCAGCAACTGTCTCCTCATCTGGGCCTTTGGACTCCCTAGTCCAGCGGGCAGGGACTATCTAAGTGCCCACCAGGCCCTGACCATTGTGAAGAGAGTCTCATCTCCTTGGAAACATCCAGCGTCCATCTTCGAGCAAACAACCATGCTTTTCCCTTCCTGTTCCTTCTCTTCCCTGCCTGCCCTGCACAGTACCGGCACCCGATGGATGACAGCCACGTCCTTCCAGGTTGTGGCTGATGCACTGATGAACTCTCACCACCGCTGTCCCTGTCCATGTCTCTTTTAGGCAGGGATCAGAGAGAGCCAGTGATATTCACAGTATTCCTAGCGTTGTGAACATAAGGTTACTGGGACATGGAGTCCCAGAAACCTGATAGAATCTGGGACAACTGCTTGTCTAAAATGGTCTTGTAGTTGATAGAGTCCCTCCTGTCCCTTACAAAGTGGGGTAGTCAGTCACCTACGCCTTCTGACGCTGATTACCCAGGCGGGGCTCTTGTTCACGGAGCACACTGGGCCCTCAGAGAATTTTACTCATACTTTTTAATAAACTCTTTAAGAATCTCCCATGCCTGCTTCCAAATGAACACAAGACACTGCAAAAAGCTTATCCAGGCCTCCAGTTCATCTCTCTGCTGCATCTATGTAGCCCTCCTTGTGTTCTTGGAGCTATTCTCCGTTTGGCTCTGTCTTCCTCCTCGGGGTAGAGCTTGGAAGGCGGCACACAGTTCTGTGGAAACTTGCTTCTTCTTCTTCCGCTTGGCCTGCTCCAGGGCTTGGCACACAGCTCTGCTTGACTTCTGACTCGGCTCCCTCCTTGTTCCCCATTGCTGCAGCTTTGGGTCCGCCCATGTAGGTCTGGGTCGGCCACGGGCTGTGGTGTCACAGCGAAGTCCACTGGAACAGAAGCCCCATGAAGGCAGGTCCCTAACGGTCCGAGGTCTAGGCTGTTTGTTAGGGCTAGCCAAGTGCCCACACTAATAAACTCTAGGTGTGAACTGACTGGATGGCGGTGTTACAGCTGCTGCCAGTACTGCTCCTTCAGTTCCTTGCTTTGCTGAAGCCATTTCTATCCTCCCGTGACTTGTGCTGTCTGTGGGAGCCCTGGCATTTCAGCTTTGCCTCCTTCCAGTTCCTAGGTGCCTGTGGCCTCACTGTGCACCCTCAGTGTCCGCTTCTTGCTGTCATCATATCCTTTGGATATACATTTGGGACCTCAGAATACCCTCTCTTGTTTCCCCATCCCTTCTTACGGTGGCCCTGCCCACAGCCCTGATTTTCCCAGTCACACACATCAAGTATCTCCCCATCCCTATATGGTATTCAGTAAACACAGGCGTTTGCTTTGTCTTTAATCATCAGGAAAGTCAGGAGAAACTTCAACTGTTTTTGCAAAACCAAAACCTGAGGCGTTCTGCCATGCTTGTTTTCCTATAGACACCACAAGAGGGACCACTCATTGATCGTATGCCTGGCCAGTCAGTCATTTCTCCTTAGTTACTCTCTAAGAAACAGACATTTCCCATTATCCTCCCATAGTTTATTTTTCAGTTCTTATATATAGCTTAGTTTTGGGATTCCACCATAAATTATTTGATGAAATCAATTTGTAAGATTGTTCTGGAATAGAAGCAGCTATCGACGACACAGGTGCTTTGTGGGACCAGAAAAGGGATTACAGCTGTGAGGAGGTGGAGCTTGTAAGGAAGTTTACCATTAAATGTTCTGCAGCTGTCCGCATTGTGCTGGTTAGCCAGTGTGTGGGGGCGGGTGGCTGGCGGGCATGGGTGGGTGACCAGCATGCGTGGGTGGGTGCTGGTGTATGTGGGTGAGCAGCCGACTCCTACAAGAAACTGCTTGTCTTTGAATTTCAGAAAGTCAGATCCAGAGTGGAAGAAGAGCACATGCTTGCCCTGGGTTGTAAAAGTACAGATAGGCAGTGACTGGATGTTGTCAGGGTGTGCTCACTGAACCAGGTCCCTGCAGTGAAAAGAATGTGGTAGCCCCTTTGCTGACCTCACCCCAGCCCCCCTGGCATGTTAGTCTTGCTTCCAGTACATCTCACTGGGGGTTTTACATCGCAGCTTTGCAGAGTTCAGAAGTCTGGCTGCAGCTTCTCATGAAGTGCCAAGATAAGAGCTCTGCCTGTCTCGATCAGAACTGCAAGACAGGAGAGGTTACAGCTGGGGTTCGGGGTGGTCCTCCAGCAGGGTGTGCTCTCTAAGGAGGTTACAGCTGGGGTTCGGGGTGGTCCTCCAGCAGGGTGTGCTCTCTAAGGAGGCTGTGATAACAAAGCTTCAGATTTCCTTTCAGGCGACTTCCAGTAAACTGGCTCATGAAGGAGAAAGAGAACACACCAGTCCATGCTGGACAAGAATGACACCACCTTCCAGCCTCAGCCTCTGCCTGCTTCTGCTCGGAGCTCTAGGCATTGTTGCACTGGACCGCTTCACAAAAGGCCAGAAGTACGGCACACTGATTCCCACAAAGGGAAATACCATTCGGAACCGCAGCTGTCCTGACATCAGGGACTCTGACTGCAGTTTGGCCAACTTGATGTGTAGCTGCAAAGCTGTCCTTCCTTTTGACGTGGAGCAAGCCAGCTAGCATGACCCCCTGGCCATCTGGTGCACAGACACATCCACTTTGAGCCACTCTGGTCCACGACGTGAAACTTTCCTTGTGTGGTTCCTACACTCTCCCCACCACGTACCTGGCTATCTGTGGGCTGAAGAGGCTTCACATCAACGCTGAGGCCAAGCATCCCTCCTGGGAGCAGAGCTTGCTCATCCACAACAGAGGGAAGGCAGGTCTTGTACAGAGGCTGGCAAACGTGTGTTCATCTCATTCTTAGATGTGGCTCTTTTCAACAGGGACCTGTCTTTAAAGTCGTACAGCATTGATAGCGCTTCTAGCCTTCCTTGTGACTTTCCTGATTTTCTTTCTTTAAAACTCCCCTGTGCTAAACAACAAAAGCTGTGCTGTCCCCGTCCTTTACTAGCTCCCATGCCCACCCGCTGGGAACTCTGGAAACTGATGGAAGGGGCCATGAGACAGGTGCTCCGGTTTACTCCCTCAGCCTCCATTCACATCTAAGCCACACCTAAGAGCAGCTGGTTCCCTCTGGTCCACTTTCGATGCTAGGAGCTATTTGACTCCTGAGCTTTGTCCTGAGGGCCAGCTAGAAGCTAGGTCTTTGGAGAGATGCCAGGTTAGAAGGGGGAGAGCACTGCACACCAGGAACTGTTTATTGGAGCCCAGTATAGGCATGGCCCCAAGGAAGGGATCTTCTTCAGAATACAGGAATCCTTTAGCTGTGTGGGCACATCCTAAGACCCTGACAATGCCTGATTGAACAAACAGCACTAAACCTTGTGCACATTGTATTTTTCCCAAACAGAGAGACTCATGACAAAATCTAATTTATAAATTAAGATCACATGGGACTAACAAAAATTGTACCATATGTAAGAAAGTTGCGCAAACATGCTCTCATCTACTGTTCCACAGTGCTCACCATCTCCCTGACGGTGGCTTCTCTCTGACGTAGCTGAATTTTCATAATGTGATGGCAATTATGGTTTCTCAGATACTAACATGGTAGTCACAATTAATGTGGGATACCCTTCAGTATGCTGTGAATATGTTTTATTATCATTGGTTAATAAAGAAGCTGATTTTGCCAATAGCCAGGCAGAATAGAGCCAGGTGGGAAATCCAAGCAAAGATAAAGGGGAAAAGAAGGTGGAGTCTGGGCAATGTTAGCAGCGGCTGGAGAAGCAAGATGTGAGGTAACAAAGTCATGGGCCTCGTGGTAAAATATAGAATAACAGAAATGGGTTAATTTAAGCTGTAAGAGCTAGTTAATAATAAGCCTGAGCTAATAGGCCAAACAGTTTGTAATTAATATTAAGCCTTAGCATGGTTATTATTATATTAAGCCTTAGTGTGGGAACTAGTGGGCGGGAGAGAAACCTCCAGTTACACACAATAGTCTGAAAACAGAGACAAGCTACTGAGTGCCTGATGGTTGGTAGGGCTCATAGTGCTTCTATGACAGGCAAAGGGATGGTTCGTGTTCTAGGTGGAATGGGGCAGGACTACTTTCTTCGCACTCCTCAGAACAACTCACAGTTGGAAACTTCTGTCTTACAAGTGAAACTACAGATAGGAACCACTGTGCCCTTCCTCCTTCTTTTCTTCTTCATTTTGTGACATGGTCTGGAATTCTGAATCACAAATGATAGATTTCAGAGGTGTGGGGACCTAACTTCTTCTAAATGACAAATTCACTCAGGCTGATACTTTCCAAATAGTTGTTAAGATAGATGCATTGAGGAGTTGGGATTTTAAAGGTGCATTTATGGAGATTGGGAAGGTAGAATGTCAGGGATTGGGTAGAACCTTAACACTCATGAAGGCCTTGGGTTTCTAAGAGAGGGTACATAAGTGAAAATACAACAGACAACCACACACTTAACCTCAAACTTTTGCACAAAGCACTGCTCCAGAACAGAGCTAGGGGAGGTTCTTTTCTGGACCCCTATCACAGATCACGGCTCCTCTGGTCCCCATTTCACAGAGCACGTCTTCTCTGGTCCCCCTTTCACAGAGAATGTCTCGTCTGGTCCCCCCATCACAGATCACAGCTCCTCTGGTCCCCCCCCCATCACAGAGCACGGCTCCTCTGGTCCCCCCATCACAGAGCACGGCTCCTCTGGATCCCCTATCACAAAGCACGGCTCCTCTGGTTCCCCCTCCCCATCACAGAGCAGGGCTTCTCTGGACCCCTTTCATTTACTCTGCTTTTGTTCAATCATCTTTGTTCCCTCCACACCCTGACCCATCTCTTATCACCTGCCCTCCCATTCTTTTCCCTCTTGCTCCAGAAATCAGAACTTTGATTACTGTCAATAAAATTGTTAAGCTACATTAGGATAGTTTGGGAGTCTAACAATCACCTCTAACTCTGCGCTCAAATTATAAAGACTTAATTTTAAAATGTAATTTTGGCCCCGAATCCATCTAGTAGTTTAAGATGAGAAAGTTAAGAATCCCATATAAGACAGTTAAAACAAGCTCATATTATACATTGTGGTAAAAGGAACCAAGCAACTAAAAAGTAATGAAATTGCTTCAACATTACACAAAGAAAAGTTTCTCTCATAGAGACCCAATTTACCATCAATGTGCAATATTTTTAAAACCCATGTCAGAAGACTAGAAAGATGGTTTAAAGCTTAAGACCAGGTTCTGTTCTTCCAGAGGCCACAGGTTCAGTCCCCAGCATCTGTGCTGGTTTGCTCACAGCCATCTGTAGCTCCAACTCCAGAGGATCCAACACCTTTTTCTAGCCGCCACAGGAACTTGTACATAGGCACACAGACTAACGAATATGGACTAAAATTAAATATTTAAAGCCCATGCCAGTTGTGACACAAATGTCTAAACTTAGACGAAAACAAAGTTGAAGCATCACTGAATTCACGACACCACAGTGATAGAAGCAATTTCATCACAAGATCACAGGTTAGTCACATTTATCTACTTTTTCCATCTTAACCTCAAGATAGGGTAACTCAACCTGAAATGTCTACATCTGCATAATTGGCAGTGGGAGTTGGTCATTCAGACTAATTAACATGGGCCCATAATGTCAGCATTTAAATTAGGTCAAACAAAGCCTAAACTATGGATTTTAATAGAACGTGTAATGGCCTCATTACTGATGTGGATCAGAGCCAACATTTAAAGTGAGGAAAAGACAAGGAGTTGGGAAAAAGAGAAGGCAAGAAAGATGTAAGTAAAACAATAAATTATATGTATTTACCATAATTACTGAATATATTACAAATTGAATTTTGATGGAAACCTATAAATAATGTGTAAAAAGTAAAGTTAGAAATATATGTGCCCACAAATGCCTTCCATCTGGTAGCTGATTCTGGCTTGAGAGCCTTTCACATATAACTTATATGATTCTTATGAGAAATTGTGGCCACATGGCTTGGGGCTGGCAGTTTGGCACCTGTAGTCAGCTGGTAAAAGTTTAGCCATGGCTTTAAAGAAGAGGAGGAAGACATACATCTTCCTAACACACTCATGGCGTATTAAACATTGTGCTAGTATAAAGGTTGTGAAGCACACAATTTATGAATAATAAAAGATATTATCCTTTAGTTTAAGGTCTGTGCACAATTCTCAAATAATGTTTTATTTGATTTTTGCCAAATTCTTGTATCTAATGGTTAGAGGTGGTGAGAAAATAAGGTTCTCATATAGATACAAAATTTAAATCAATAAATAAGGTATCATATAGATACCTTAAATTTGTATCAATAAACCAAGATCTATACCAATGCAAATCTCTACAGCATGAGACAATAACTTGGATAAAGTACTGTCAATGCTCATTTTGTACGACACGTTCAGAAGGGCTTCAGGAGACGGCGCTCTGGAGCTACTGCTAATTGTCATGCAAGACAACGCCCTGTCTTCATTCTGGAAATCCTTAAACACTTTCTAACAATAAAAATACTTCATGGCCATTGGTACCTGTGTTAATTTTTTTTTAATGACAAAGACATCCCTCTCTAGATCTTTATAATCTAGATTGGGTCATTATTAATGACTTGATGAAAAAAATATTATTTCACTAAATTAGAATCAGTGGCTAAATTTTAATAGAGTTTAAAGCAAGTAATTTAGAATTGAGGGGGAGTGGGACTGAATTTAGGACCTCACACAGGCCAGTCCCACACACTAAGCCTAGGAATTTGTCAGTATTCTTTGTTAGGCCTGCCATGTGCTGTGGATGGAGCACTTGTCTCTGCACAGGTTGCTTGCAACAGTTGCATATCTCAAAGCAGTTTTAGCTGAACAAAAGGCATAGCTGAAATACGATTAAGTTAAAAAACTTTTAAAAGATTTTTTATAATTGAAGAGTCAAAAATAACATAAAAATTTAAAGACTGACTTATTTTGTTAGAATCTTTTGGTTCTAAGGTTGGTGTGTTTGTTGTTTGGGACAGGGTCTTGAAATTCAGTCAGAATTCATTCTCTGGACCATACTGGCCTGGAACTCACAGAGAGTCACCTGCTTCTGCTGGGGTTCTAAGTTTTTTTTAAAAATTTGATACATTCTAAATAAATTCACACACCAAAATGAAATGTTAACAACAACCACAAAACAAAAAAGGACTAATTAATAAGGGTTCCGGGGCACCTACAATTCATCCAACTCCATGGAGTCCGAGAGCAGCGACCCTGTGCTCTCTACCTGATTTGCTACACTAGTTGGTCTTCCTGGCTCTTGAGTTTCCAAGGTGTATCAGGGTTCTCGAAGAGTCACAGAACTTACAGAATGAATCAATCAATCAATCACTCTCTCCATATATATATATATATATATATATATATATATATACACACACACACACATATACAGATATACACATATATAATTTATTGAAGTGACTTACTGCTGCAGCCCAACAATGGATAGTTGTGAATGTAAAGTCCAGGAACCCAGCAGTTGCTCAGTCCTCCAAGGCTGGATGTCTCAGCTGGTCTGTGTATGCTGGAATCCCAAAGAAGCAGGCTCCAACGCCGTGAAGAAATGGATGTGCTGGCAAGGCGAGGGCAAGCAGCAAAGAGCACAGCTTCCTTCTTCCATGTCCTGATATAGACTTCCAGCAGAGGTGTGGTCCATAGTAATGGTACATCCTCCTGCCTCATGATCCTGATCAAAGGTATGAATCTTCTGACCTCAAAGGTCTGGACTATAAGTGGATTCACCCACTTCAAACCAAACAGACAATCTCTCAAGGTGCCCTCAATTTCTGGATTGTTGTTCATTCCAGAAATAGTCAAGTTGACAACCAAGAATAAGCATCACACATGGTAATTTACAGATGTCCTATGGCTTCTGAGTTCACTGCAGTCCCAACCACCGACTCTGTTTCACATGGGAAATCCTGGGGAAACCTGACCTGGGTCGGTCAGGGCAATGTCAACTACGCTTTCCCAATGAGGACAATGTGGCCGGTCTTTCTGCCATCTGCATTACTTCTCCTTAGAGGGGGAAGCTCCCAGAGGTGAAGGGAAGCAGTCTACTAACTATCTTAAGAACTTATTAATTTCAATAGCTTATAACAAATACACTGATAGGATGTTTTGGTATTAAAACTGTCTAAGATCTGGTAATTATTTAATTAACATAAAGTAAAACATTGTCACCAGGTAAACAGAATGTATGCCAGATGCCTACCAAGTCAAATGTTTTAGCTTCTATGAAGACAGCATTGAATGAAAGTAATCTCTTGTGGAGCTGGAGAGGTGGTTTGGGGGTTAGAGGACTTACTGCTTCTGTAGGACTAGAATTTGATCTTAGCAGCCATACTGGGTGGCTCACACTCCCCTGTAGCTCCAGCTCCCGGAGATCTGGTGCCCTCTACTAGACTCCACATGCCCTGCACTAATGTGCACGACCCACAAACAGAGACATAACTGAAAAAAAATAAAGTCTTAAAAGTCTCCTATCCCCCAAAACTTACATTTTAAATGAATAAAAAATGTTTTCAGTGAAATAAGAGCTGAAGGCATTTAATTAAATACAATTGACTACATTTCATTTTATTCTAGATTAGAATTATTAAGATTTCCAGAGTTATACTTTAAAAAAAGAAAATCTTCTGTGTCATCAGTTTCTAGAATATTAGAGTTTACCTAGCAAATAAAAATAAAAACCATGTAGAAGTGAGGAAGGACTCGTAGCTTTTGCTACCTTTGTTTGCCAAGTAAGAGCATGAAAACACACACACAGCAGCAGCATTGATAGGAGAAATGAAGTTTCTCACCTGAGGAGAAATAAATACACAATCTCATAGGATATTTTGTTCACCAATGAACATTATGCTCCTTTACAGAAACAGGAGTATTTTTTAAGAGATTCAAAGGTTTACATTTGGTAAAAACTGGTCTCCAACTCCAGGAGCTAAGACTGAGTCAGCAAGTCAAACTGACTTGACTATTTTGTCAGAATTTCTGAGTCAATTAATTCATGTGAAGTTAGGATTTGGGGGGGGGGACACAACAAATTGACATTATTTTAAAGAAAACAGTTGATGTAGCAATTCTATAGAAACAACGTGATGGTATAGTTACGTAGTGTTAATAAGCACATTAGTTGACCGAATACTCAAAGCACCTAGGGCTTTTTCAAATATTTCCTTTCTGTTGTTTGGTCTAGCAGCCAGCAGACAATTAATCCAATCAGCTATTCGGTTTTCAGAACTTACTGCCCACTAGGTCAGTGAAGACTGGAGAGAGGGACTTAGGCCGACTCAGGCAGCAAGGTAACACTTAGTGCCTAACTCTGCCAGTTTTACCACCTTAATAGGTAGAACGGTAAACTTACAAACATCTTCTTTATCTTTAATATTTAAAACGGCAGGTGTTTTCCCTTCTATTCACATCTAATCAACAGTTTTACAATATGTCCTTTTAAAGCTTCAGGATGATAGTGCAACACAGTCCGTGCTTTCTCGAAGTTCTGGGGAATCAAACAGGCCCTTGCAAATGGTAGGCAAGTGTCCTTGCCCATATCCTGTGTCTAGGCCTTACCTTTACTGCCTTTATTTTACTGCAAATCTGTCTCAGGGTGCAGGTGTCTGAAGGCTGACCAGGCAGAATTTGAACCTTTTGTAATTGAAAACAGGGGTTCAGTTTCACCAAGGATGCTGTGACCAGGACTTCACCAATGCTGAAAAGCCAGAACATGAGAGCCCAGAGCAATAGGAGTAGAGTAGAAGTCATGTGATACCAATTCTTTCCGATCACTGAGAAAAGGGGCTGGAAAGGATGCTTGTAACTGCACATCTGGGTCCTAAGAGGGCAGACCTCAAGTCTAACCAGAGAACAGGAGAAGAGGACCAAACTATAGGAGAACCAAACTATGGTAGAAGTGGGACCTTCTACCTCATTGTGGAACTTAGAACTCATTGAAAATTGGAGGGCATGGTGTAGGCCAAAAGATAGAGCCATGTTTGCTGGTACAAGTACAGACCACACAATTTCTGCACAGGGCACATGAGCAAAACTAAAAAGCGCTGCCAGGAGCCGTGGCAGTTCTAATCTGGGATAACCTTCAGATGTGACGCCTGGTCAAAGCTCTCCAGGGTAGTGCTGAGCATTACAGGACAAGGAGGGAGATTTCTACTCTCAGAAATTTCAGGAACTGTGTGAACTACATAGAGGCACAGAACGATGGGGAGGACGCTTGCACGCACATACACACGTGTCCCACGACACGTGAGACTCAGAGAAGGAGAACACAGTTGACTACAGAGGAACAAGAATTAAGGATTTGGGGGAGATAGGTGTGATGAAATTTCTGGGGGGAGGAGGCAACAGTATGGTGAAGAATGGGTACCTTGTCACCCAGGTAAGTCACGTCGGAGTAGCCATCTGAAGGACAGGTGACGGGACCCATCTGCCATGGCACCCCTCAGCCTCTCCACTGCTGTCAGCATTCCCCAGCTGATGAGACTCCCAGGGAGGGGACTCATACAGTTGTGGAACTTTGGGGAACTCTACCTTCAGGCTGAAAGGGGAACTTCAGAGAAAGCCTCTCTCTGCATTTCTTTTAACAAGGACAGTGAGGTGATGTTTCTCAGAGATACTTGGTTCTCTTTTAAAATACCCCACAAGCCCAAGCCCCACAGTTTGAGGTTTGGGATTTTTCTTTTCTTTTCTTTTTTTGCTTCATTTTTCTTTTTTAAGACATGTTTTCAGCCCAGAAGTGGTGGACACACACATTTAACCCCAGAACTTGGGAGGCAGAGACAGATCTGTGAGTTGGAGGCCAACCTGGGCTACAGAGCGAGTTGCAGGACAGACAGGGAAACACACACAAAAAAATACTCTCAAAAAACAAACTAACAAACAAACAAAAGCCAGGTTTCCACGTATCTCAGGTTGGCCTTCAACTGGAGGATAGATGATCATGAACTTCTAATTTTCCCGCCTCCACTTCCCAGTACTGGGATTACTTCCAAATAAGTATACATATTTTAATGATTTTGTTTTATTATGTATGTTATGTATGTCTGCCTTCATGTTTGTATGTGAACTATGTGTGTGCCTGGCACTCCAAGAGGCCAGGAAGGGTCTAGGATCCCCAGAACTTGAGTTATTCACAGCTGTAAGGTGCCATGTTAACCAAACCCAGGTCTTCCACAAAAGCAGCAAAGAGCTCTCGACTGCTGAGCTATCTCTTTGGCCCCTAGTGTGCATGCTTTAAATTCATCGCCCCTTTAACACAGATGGTGTGCAACCGAAGTGCTTTTAGCCTGCATGCAGGATGATATACCCTGCTGGGCACCACATGCATGCAGAGACCAGAAGGCATCAGACCGGAGTTAAAGGGATGTGCGCGCTCCCGCGGGTGCGAGAACTGCAGCGGGTGCGAGAACTGCAGCGGGTGCGAG